AACTAAGGCAGTTAAAGTAACTGTGTAAGACAGCCTTACAAGGAAAGGGAGTGGGCCCAGGCACATGAAAAGAGCTATTAACATGGTAAGGTTTTCTGCAAACAATAGAAAATACATTTATGGTAAAAATCATATTTGGAACATGTATTTTTAAATGCCTACTCAGTGACTATATCAAAAAGCCAACCTTTACAGATTACATTCTCCAAGTACTTAATTTGACAAATTGGCTTTGCATACTTGGTGTTTAATATCGGTTCAAAGCAGATATGTTTATAACAATGAGATTCATTATTCCCACTATTATTATAAATAGTATCATTTAAAGCTATAAACCTAATAGTGCAAAATACAATTAAAAGAGACAAAACAAGAGCTACACTCAGATTTTTCTGAATAAAAATTTTCGTCTTGGATAAACAAACAGCTGTTTAATTGGAGATAACACATTTTGCAAAAGCTAAATTTAAAAAAAACCTGTTCCTTGATTATTTCTTCATATCATGTTTCTGGATGGATGAGAAACAGTGAATTTAGTATTTTCTGAGCACATACTATGTGCCAGGCACTTCATGTTATCTCATTTTCCTCCTCAATCTTTAATGAGGAATGTGCCATTTTCATTTTTACAAATTAAGGGCAGGGTTCCAGGTAGGTTAGTAACTTGCTCAGAACCACACAGGCATTTAAATTTGAACCCAAGTCTGTCTGATAGTGGACCCTATGCTTGCCTTTCTGCATTGATTATTCACAAATTGTAGGTGTGCATCAGAATTGTGTGGACAAGCCGGTTAAAAGACAGTTGACTCCTTCTACAATTACTGAGAATTCATTAAGTCTGAAAATCAAGAGAAAAAAAAATTGTATTTCTAACAAATTCCCAGGTGATGCTGATGCTACTAGTTCAAGGACCATACTTTGAGGACAACTGTTCTGCATCATACTGACTTCTAAGACATGGCTAAGTGTCTCTATGCATTCTCATGATAGACTGCAAAAATATTATTAGAAACCTAGTAAAATTTGAATGTATTTATAATTCATAAACATTTTAAGCTAATGAGAAATGTTCTTGGACATATTCATCTACTTTGGGTATTAACTGTGGCTAGATTGATATAAAATGATAACAATCAGTGTTGCAATTCATTTTTAATATCTGCAGCTCAATTCCTTTTTCAAAAATCAATTACACTAGAAGAAAGATATTGTTAATTAATAATGATATGTTAGATATGATAAGGTGATAACATTTTAACCTCAGGGGATGTAAGATTGATTTTAAAAATGACATTTGCATAAGGACATTATCATATTAAGCATTGCCAAAGTTCAACTCTCAAAAGACCTTGTAAGTCAGCCTATTTTTCTAGAACTAAGTTTAAATGTCACTGTGCTCTGAGATATTTTCCACATCTCCTCATGATACGAATTAGAAAGTTCAATTCTGATGACCAACCCTTTATAAAGAGTTTAAGAAATGGTGCCATCCCAGATCTGCCTGCTGCTTTCCCATGTTTGGTGAATGTTGTTGATCACCTTCGAGTCGAGCACGACTCATAGGGACCCTATGAACAAAAAGCCTGAAGCCCCTCTACAACTATTGACATTTATCAAAGTTCATAGAGTTTCTGGAGGCATGTTATTTAGGAAGTGGATATTTACAAAGATTGCAAGAATATTCATGAAATGTTTTTTTAATTCCCAGTTTTCTCATTTTTAATTCCCAGTTTTCTCATCAACAAATTGAGATGTAAGACCCCTTTATGTACTCAGAAATTAATAGTGGTAGGAAGACATCAAAGAAAATGTAGATTTTAGATAGTATGCATTTAGGCCAGGGGACCAAATAGCACTATTTTTTTTAAAGAGAGCAAATGGTATTAATGCTTCTATTTATCCAGAAGGAAAGCAGTAGCTATATCACTATTATTGGATGCAGTCAGATTCAGCCCTTAGTGGGATCATAAGATTGAGGGGCAAGACTGTTGTCACAACATGATGGGGAAGGTGATTATGTTCTTTTATATTTTGGGTCTCTGGCTGGGGCAAAAAGATTCATTTTATATATTAAGATAATTGTTTCATCATATTTAACTCATTGCTTTTGAGTTGGAACTGACTCATAGCTGATCCTCTACTGGGTCTTCAAAGGCTGTAAATCACACAGGACATTTCCCAGCTTTAGTGGGCTAGTGGTAAGGAGCTGTGCTGCAATTCCAAAGGCATGTGGTTCTAACCAGTTGCTCTACAGAAGGATGGACAGTCTCCTTCCATGCAATTTACTGCCTCTGAAAGCCCACAGTGAGCTATGGATCAGTTCTAACTCAGTGGCACACAACAACAACAGCAACAACAACTACTACTACTACTCCTACTCCAAGTAGACTAGTTGATGGATTCAAACTGCCTGCCTTCAGGTTGGCAGTGCAACTTTCTACCCACTAGGCTATGAGAGCTCCCAATTTCACCATTGAGCACTGAATTTTATTTATGATTGACAACTAGGGTGGCAGTAGGTTTTGTTTTGTTTTGTTTTTTCTTTTTTAAACTAACACATTTTAGGAAGGGAATATCTTAACTTTGCCCTATACTAAAGTTTTATTACCAAGAAATTCTTTTATGTCAGTTAAGAAGAAAAAGTTCTGTGTTAAAATTGAAACAATCTAGATGCTTTCATACCATTCCCCTTCCTCCCATTCCTTCATGCTCACTTTTTATAAAGAGGTATAAATAGACAACAATAACAACATAAATAGAGATTTTTTTTGTGGAAGGCCGAATTTTAAGCGTGTCAAAACAAATGTTGCAGCTGAAGCATTCATTAATCAATCGGGTATAGATTTCTCACCTGCCAAATTCTCTCTCTATAAATGAACAATCTCTAGTGAATGCATTTTGAATCTGCCTGTATTCTTATGAAATGTAATGCAGCTGCAAAAATTTGCCCAAACATGGAAATAAATTCCTTAAATAGCACTCTGAATCAGCCATTTGTGTGGCTCTGTCCCTCCTGCTAGATCGAGTTTCTAACACAGTGGTAGGCACCCTTTAAATGTTTGTTAAATAAGGAAATTAAAGCACTCTCTAAACTGGTGTTAATACCAAAAACGATTTATGAGCTGGTTATTTACTGTTATACTTTTATTTAATTGACTAATCATTTTGTCATGTGTACCTTATTATTTAGCTATTAGTTTTTTAAAATTAAACACAGAAATGTTTCTGTACCTACAGATAGGCTCTCACATGGATTATCATTTTATGAGACCATTTAAAAATAAAGCGAGCAATTTAAGGTGGTTGTTGTGTACCACTGTGTTGGAACCGACCCACAGTTGACCCCCCAGCGCGTTTTCAGAGGCAGTTAATCACATGGGAGATTGCTCATCCTTCTTCTGTGGAGCAGCTGGTGGCCTTAAACCATGAGTTTAAGGGTTTGCAGTGCAGCTTCTTGCCACGAGGCCACCAGAGCTCCCTTACCTTAGTCATATTTTAAATAGTACAGTGATTTTGCAAGTGTAAATAAATTGCATGTATTTGGAGCTAACAAATTCGTGTTAAATATGAGTCAGTAAGATTTTAGTTTTATATTGGAAGACTATAAATTAATGTATCTTAATAGTATGCACAGATAAAATGTTTCTGTAAAAATATATGAGTATTTAGGGATTCATAAAAAGACTAAGAACTTTCCAACCAATTTTCAATTTTTTTTTGCGTGCAGAAGGAAAGACTTTAATAATTTTATAAATCATACTTAGCTAGTTAAAATCAGAACTGCTTAACTGGAATTCAGCTAAGCAGAATTTTTAATTTGCAACTTTTCCTATATTTTGCTTTTATGAAAGAAAGGCCTACCCCAAACTCTAATGGTTACTTATATAGAATAAATATATATTCCACTGTCTTTTATGATATTCTGGGGTTAAGATACATCTGGCCCAGTCTATATTCAATCGATTTTGACTTAGTTTTTGATTAGCAAGTGTTTAAATAACCCGAAACACCTTGACATTTTACTGCTGGTGAGTGCATTTTCTTCCTAGGGGGGTAAAGACACATTATTTTTCCATTTATAACTGGGATTAGAAGGCCACAGAACAACATATATTTAATGGAAGGTACCTTTTCCATTCAAAATGGTACATTCTTTGAAAAAATTCAGCATTGTCCTAAAATATGAATCAGAAAAGCAAAGTGGTATTAGTTTACATCAGCCTTATTTCATCAATTCTGAAGAGGAGTTCCCCCTTCCTCCTCCTGAAAAAAACTCATTAAAATTAGAAAAACTTTTTTTTTAAAGCATTGAAGAAAATATGCCAATGGGAGATATTTGAGGTTGTTTTTCAATGCAGTTAGTGACAGATTTTTAAATAGAAAGGCCTTTTGTTGTCGTTAATGCTGGCCTATATTCATGTATTTGGAGATTGCTTTCTATGCTGTCAGAGATTTATAACTCTAACTTTGCATATATTTCCCCCTGTGTGGTGGAATGAATGTAAATAACTATAAACATCTTGGAAGAGAATGGTATCTGTTCTCAAAAGTAAATTATGAGTCCCTTTGAATTTACATGAGTTGAGGATCATCTGAATTGCATCCATGAACAACAGTTTTATCCCTTAATTTCTTATTTGTTTGGAAGGCATTTTCATAACAAAGTACTGGTTTTGTTAAAGCAGTAAATAGGAGTCTCCATGCAAGAAAAATTGGAGTTTCCTAACATGCACATGGTTTAAAAAATAAAAAGTAAAAAATAAGATGCCTTGAGATGCTGGCAGTTTTAACATTTGGGACAAAAAATTCTTAACGTATATTTACATCCTAACTGCTCAATTTTACCTTACAAGCTTCAATTTAGGAAAATATACAGTACTTTTGCATATAATAATGGTAACTTGTGAGCCCCTGAGTCAAGTAGAGAGGATTTAAATACAAAAAAGAAAACAGCCATTAAAAGCACTTACATTGTATGTGGAGTAAATAGTACAAAATGATTATTTCCCTGGAAGACCAGGATCAGAAACATGCCTATGAAGACCCAAGATTCCAGTAGTGCTTTGAGATGATTCAGGTAAAGAAGGATGCCTAATTGGATGAAGGTAAGTCTTTCTTTGCCTCGGCTGAAGCTTTAAAGACAGATCACTGTCTTGTTTTAAAAGTGAAGTCAAGTTGTCTTCTGAAGCTGTGTTCAGATGTACCCCACTTGAGAGGGATTCTTTGGATTTAAGGTTAGATTTTTCAAGGTCTAGAAATTCAGGACACTGATAAAAAAAGAAAAAACATATTTAGAAATCACTTTGGCAGTCATCTAAAACTATGCTCATACTAGGTAAATGAGTTTTCTTTCACCATTATATTTTCTTTCACCTATACATTTGATCAGTGACATTGACCAGAATTTGCTCTTCAAAAGATGAGTCAAGAAATTAGAGGTAAGGTATCAATTTAGCTATGCTGAGTTCTGATGGTCGAGTGGGTAAAGAACTATGCTGTCAACTCAAAGGCAAGAGGTTTGAATGCTCCAGAAGCTCCTTGGGAGAAAGAAGGGTAATCTCATTCTGTGATATTTATATCTTATGAAAACCCACTGGAGAGTCAGTTATGAGTTGGTTCCTAATTGATGCAATGAGATGATGATGATGAAACAATAACTATTCCAAGAATTTCACTTTTACCCTGAAGCCAGGTTAGAGTATTTGCACATAGGATTTTCTAGATGTATTTTAAATCTTTACGGCCACCCCATAGGAATCAAACTAGAATACGACTCCATAGTATTTTTGAAAATAGATTGTCAGATCTTTCTTCCAAGGCACTTATGGATAGATTTTAACTACCAACTTTCCAGTTAGCAACAGGACGTTTTAAATGTTTGCACCACTCAGGAACCTCTACTATGTTGACTGAAGAGCTAAGAGGAGAAAGTAAAAGCAAAAAGAAAAAAATAAAGGACATAAAATTCTCCAGCCCAAATAAATTACCTAAGTAGACTGAAAGAAAAGAAAGAAAAAAAAAAACCAGACTGAAAGTACAGAATAAAATACATGGTTCTTCAGGTTTGCCACAAACCAATGGCAAGTGGTGTCAGTTTCAACTCATAGTAATCAATCCTTCTCCAGGTTACCAAGGGCTATATCTCTTAAGGGGAAGATACTGTCCAGCTTTCTTCTGTACAGTGGTTGGTGGATTAGAACTGTTGCCCTTTAGGCTAGCAGCTTGGTATGTTATCACCACACCAACCCTGCTTACAAAAACAGTTGTTATTAGGTGCTGTCGAATTGAGTACACCTGTAGTGACTTTATTAATGACAAATCTGGACCCTATTCTACCCTGCGCTCTCCTGATTATCTCTGACATAGTTGAACCCATAGCTGCGGTCACTGTATCAGTTCACCTTGTTGTGTGAGGGTTGTCTTCTCTTTCTGGTAGTAAATTCTTTTCTATGTTCATATTGTAGTAAGATTATCTTACTCTAGGTCCATTACTTCTTGTTATTAATGTAATTTAATTCCTAGACCATTTGAACTAAATTTCTAAAGAAATAATTTTTAAGACTCTTCTGTACATTATTTTTTCTTAGGTCTAATTTTACTATAGGGATTTCTGGTGGCCTAGCCCAGAGGGGGTTGTGTTCCTAACCCAGAAGTGGTAACTCTGGGGGGTTTGAATTGACTAGAGACTCCATGGGAATAAGAGGAGCAGTCCCTCTGCATGTAAGTTACAGCCTTGGAAACCCACTGGAGGGCTTACGGAAATAAATTATTAAGAGAAAATTCCAGGTGATTTAGACCTAAGATAATTTAATAGGGATGAAAAGGGACTCATTACAAACTCTCTCTTACCACTTCATCTTCCAGGTGAAATAAGATTAGTAATCCTGGTGATGGGTGCTGCAGAGAGGAGATTACTAGTCTGATTGTATTTGCACCTGAAGTATTCTTGGTCCATCTGCTGTTTCTCCTCCCCATGATTCCTGAGATCCCACTCACTCGCTTGCCTCTATAACACATTACAGAGTTCCCCACTCCCACCACTCCACCTGAAGCACTGTTGGACCCAGGTAATTCCTTAGTGCTCTAAACTCTATAAACAAATTTAAATAGGTTGGTTCTTGGAGAGTTTCCCTTAAAAAAAAAAAGTCTTTGTGTGAAGTCATTCTACTAGGTCCAATGTTCTCTAGTTTTAAATGAGGAAAACAATCAGTGAGGAACTTGTGTAAAATGAAGCCTCCAGTACCCATTCCCAGAGCTTGTCACTGAGTAGCCACAGAGACTGGATGAGAATGTCTTTTGCACAAGCGTTCAAGTCATTCTGATTCAAGGGGCCTTTGGACTGCACCATGAGAAACACTCTTCATTGGGCTGTTGAACACAGTCAATACTCACTTGTGAGGAAGGACTGAAATTTCTGTCTGTTTTAATGGATGCACCAGGATGGCTGGCTCTCATTAGGCGGATGACGGGTCTCTGATACTCAGCTCCTGCAGTCACCATACTATAGGCTGGAGGAACCGCAGCAGTTTGCTTCTGCAGCAACTGTAAGATGGTCTGGATGTCAGTAGTCATTTGGGATTCAAGTCTACAGGACAGACAGAAATTGGAGAAGACAGTCCTCAGATAGTCCAGGAGTGCAAAATCATTTGAGAAGATTTCAGCATTATTACCACAACTGTGGTCTGCATTAAACAAGGAGAGGAGAGTGAATAACGAGATTCTGTCCAGGCTGATGCTTACCTTCTACAGCCCATAACACAGGGTTCAGTTAAAGACCATTGCTTCTTGCTTATTGAAAGAATATGATATTGTTTTTAAGAACAAATTCTTTCAATTTCCTTCAACTCCTCCCCCATCAAATTGTAAAACACTATGATTAATTCCCACTCCGCCTGCACATCCTTATCCCTCTGTTTCCACCCTCTCGAACCCCTCTTGGATCATTTTACTCATTCTACAATAATGGTTTTATACAATATTTATCCTTGTGGGACTGAGTTAGTTCACTCAGCATTATGCTCTCCAGTCCTTCTCAAGTTAGGTAATAATTTACAAAATCATTGCTCCTGCGTGCTGTGTAGTATTCCATCCTGTGAATGTGCCATAATTCCTCAGTCCCTTTGATTGTGGTTGGACATTTTTGCTGTTTCCATGTTCTTGTGATGATAAATAATGATGGTATGGAAAAAAAAAGAAAGAATATGAACAGAAAAATGAATGGAATTGACACAGTCTTTACTGATTTTCAAGGGGAAAATACAAGGAGAGATCTGCTTTTTATATTATCATTCTCTCTGGTTTTCTATTATGCTTACCCTCTTGTCAAAATAATCTTTATTCTTATAAAACATAGGTTTCCCTTTCTTTCAAAGTCATAGCACTTCATAGTAATTTCTTACATTGCCCTTAAATATCACAAAATAAAATTTACTTTTTTTATCTTCTCTCTTTTGTACATCAAGTGTTGTATATTATTTATTGCATTATTGTGAAATGTTGCTGAATGTCAAATTCCTTTGCACTATACAGTTCAAGACTTTTTGTATTTAAGACAGACCAAACCTAAAAGTTCACTTGCATCCATGACCCATAGGCTTTCAAAATGCCAATCTGCTCATTTCTCCCTCCCCAAACATTTACAGGTAGCTAACTGAGTCATTTAAATAACTCTCATTTTAAATTGGAATTCAAAGGAACATAGCAAAACACAATTAAACTTATTCTTCTCTTTTGCATGTGTTAATAAAGCTTAAACTAAACATGGAGAAAATGTTGTAGACATAAAAACAAAGTGTGAAGCAAATGCCTTCTTAAGAAAGGCTTCTAACTCTTCACTTCTTGATAGGTGCTGTTTTGCGTTTAACAACAACAAAAAGCAAAGAAAAAGTAAATCTTACAGAAAGAGAACAGAAAACATCTGAAAAAATATTAGAAAATAGTTTCTTTTTTAAAAAAAGATTTAAAAATATAATTAACACTTCAAATTATTCTTCTGAGTATCAGTATAGAACATTATCTTTATAAGTTTTCTATATTTGGTAAATATAGCCATTTATCTTAGTGTATTCTAAACCATAGATATAAATTATGCATGATTATGCCTTGTAAATGTCAAACAACACATTGAAAAGAGAAAAATGAAGTTATCAACAGTTTTATTTATCTATTTGTTACCCAAACGACTGACCTAATGTTTTTATGGCACCAACTAATCTACCAACTGTTATTTTATTGTTGTGTCTCATTTCTTCCCTTTCGTTCATCAAGGTCTCTAGCTCAAATTTTAAGTGCATAAAAAACCTTTTCCATTATTTAGCCAAGTCAGGATAAATTTATTGCTCCCCTGAGTCCCCAAAGAAAATTTTACATTCAGGCTTGATCATAAATATTTCTGTGCATGTTTATCCTAGAATCACCAGCATCTGCATAACTTACCTACTATTTTCAGATTGAATGTAAAAGAAATTGGGGAGTGGGAAATAGAATGAAAATTTCATCAACAAATGGATTTAGAATCCATGAGCCAGACATGAGATATATTTGCTTGTTAAAAAACCTTTGTCAAAGAATCTGCAATGGCTTCTGAGAAAGATCTCTATTATTACAGATTCTGTCTACTTGAACAGAGTCTATAAAGGGGGAATAATCTGTTGGAAGATGAGGCTTTCTCATCTACAAGTCTAGTAATTGTACAGGCTGTTCATGGACCTATGTAAGTGCACAAGTCAGTTCACGGATCCTGAGACTACATGATAAGAGACATCTGTCTCAGTATAACTTAGGTAAAGTTTAGGCCACCCTTTAAACATAACTTAGTTTGAACTTTTCATGCAAAAAGCAAGATTAGAACAATTATTTACTTCACTATTTGCATCAATAAATTAATAAAGAGCAATGCATCTGAAAGGACACTCTTCTCTGAACAAACTTGCTTAGTCAAAGAAACTTCCCTAACCAAGACTTCAAAGATTTGCCTAATGCAATAGGTCTCCTGATTTCCTGTCTGCTAATACCATAGGTGTTGCTTGTTAATCTAAGCAACACAAAACAATTGACAGCTTCAATTCTTTGCATCAGTCATAATGTTGACTGCTGGTCTGTGGTGAGGACCTTTGTTTTCTTGATGTTGAGATGTAACCCATATCAAAGGCTGGGTCTTCTCAGCAAGTAGTCCATGCTATCCTCACTTCAGCAAGCACAGCTGTGTCATCTGCATAACACAAGTTGTTGATGAGTCTTCCTCCAATCCTGATGCCACATTCCTCCTCATACAGTCCAGCTTCCCAAATTATTTGTACAACATTGAATAGGTATGGGGAAAGGATGCAGTCCTTCCCAATTTTAAACCAAACAGTGTTCCCTTGCGACATTTGGACAACAGCTTCTGGATCTTGGTATGGATTTCTCATGAGCACAATTAAATGTTCTGTGATTCCCATTCTACTAAATGTTAACCATAACTTGTTATGATTCATACAGTGTGCCTGATTCAGACCATGCTCTTTCAGATCTGCTCCATTTTCAGAAAGCTGTGCTATGAATAAGGATGACAGAAGTATTACTGTCTTTGAATTATAGTTCTGGGGTGGAGTACTAAACACCTCATGGACGGCCAAAAGAACAAACAGATGTGTCTAGGACAAAGCATGACCAGAGTGTTCCCTGGAACCAAAGATAGCAAAGCTTTGTCTTTATGCTTTGTACATATAGTTAAATGAAGCTATTCCTTGGAAAGGGGCATTTGGGTTGGAAAGATGGAGGATCAGTGAGGGCAAGGAAGACCCTAATGAGATGGACTGACATGGTGACTTTAGCAATGAGCTTTACTGAGTCAGAGATGATCCTGTGGTGCAGAATGGGGCAAGGTTCAGGTCAGCTCTTCATAGGGTGGATAGGAATTGTGTGAGTCAACAGCTCCTAATAACCACCATCACCACTACCACGACTTATTAAAGGCCCTTACTGTGCCTTGCTGAGTTTGTGAATCCTGAATTATGCCACAAAATTTGCCAAATCCCAATCCATTTCCCACCTTGAAGGGTGAGAACCCAAAACCCAATCAATAGATATCCTACTTCAGACTTCCCTTTCTGAGATGTGGTTTAGATTCTCTCAAAATGGTGTCTCCCTTTCTTCAGAGGCAGAGATTGCGAATAAACTTAGTTTTGTTTTATCAGTATTCTAGTGATTTGGGGGAGCAGTTCATCAAAGCAGAGTGTTGGCAAGGAGAATTGCATTTTCATGTTTCATTGTGCAATCTATGGCTGCAAATACAATGGATGGTTCTTTTGAGAATAAGTAATTTACCTTTTTCAGGAGGAACTATAGAGAATTTTTATAGCACTCTAGTATTTTAAACAGAAGTTATTATCCAACTTCTATAACAATATTTTGAGGGATTGAGGTCAGCATTGCTATAAACCTGTGTCAAATAAGTATTTTCCATCATCCAAAGATGCACGACGGAGGTGGTAGGCGGTGGGAAGACAGGAAGATTAATGGATACAGACTCTGATCTCAGGGAGCTGACAGGAGCAGATTGCTTGGGAAGGAAAGATGAAGGAAACACATAAATAACTAACACAAGGTGAAGCAAGTGCTTCATACCATGCTACAGGCACACACGTAAACGGCTATGGTGTTTAACTAGGGCAAGAGTCATTGATAACAGCTTTATGTTTAATGTTCTACTCCAAGAGGGAGGTCCCAGACCAGCAGCACTTGGCATCTTTGGGAGCTTGTTGGAATCTCTGCCAAGTCAGACCTACTGACTAAGAATCTGCATTTTGACAAGCTCTCCATGTGATGTGTATGCACAATTAAGGTTTCAGAATCACTGCTTTTAGACCAAGCATTAATGTATTGCCTAAATATGTTTATAAAAGTAGGCACAAGAAAGAAGAATGAAGTTTTTAAAATGTTAACTTTTGACGCTGTTGTTATTGAGCCTATGATTCATAGTGACCCTCTGAACCCTGCTCTATCTTAAACCAATCTTATTGTCTCTGACACACCTACTCATATTACCCCAGTCACTGAGTCAATCACTCTCATAGAGGGTCTTCCTCTCTTGTGCTGTCCCTCCACTCTCCCAACCATGCTGTTCCTCTCCAAAGACTGGTCCCTCTTTGAAACACGCCCAAAGTATGCCAGACAAAGCTCCAGAATCCTTGCCTCCAAGAGCAACCAGGTTTCACTCTCTCCAGGACAAACCTGATGGTTCTAGCAATCCATGGTATATTACATACTCTTCTCCAGCACCACAGCTCCAAGGTATCAATTCTCCTTCTCTCATCCCTAGTCATGTTCAGATTTTTGATGCATAGCACACAAGACCATGGCCTAGAATAGGTGCACCTTGGTCTCCAGGCTAACATAATTGCTCTTCAGTACTCTGACAGCAGACTTTCCCAATGCAATTGACCTTTGCATTCCAAGCTGCTGGTTCTAAGAGTGTTGATTGTGGAGCCAAGCAAACAAGTTAACAATCTCAATCTCTTCACCATCTATCTGCTGCCAATTGGTCCATTAGTGAGAATCTTTGTTTTCTTTTTGTTGTTGTTATTGTTGT